TTCCCTCAACTTCTCCATCCCTAGGCGACCAACAATTTACTTTCTGTCCCTATGAGACATTTTTAAATGACAGATTCAAAGGTTAAATCAATACATGAGTTAAAATGCTATAATAGAGTATATAAAAGTTTTGTAACTAAAATTGGAATCATTTCTTGAACACCCAGAAATAAAAATATATAAGAAATAAATATTATAGTCAACATGTATGTGTATACCCTCTATGGTGGTGCTGAGACTATAAAGGAGAGTAAGATGTTGTATATTCAGAAAGAATTTGAGAAAACAACATGAATAAATGAGAAGCACAAACTGTCAGCGAAGAAGACCAAGGCATGAGTTCTATGGGCGCTCAAGGAGGAAGGGGCCTCTGATGACTGTGGTAGACAAGGAAAAGTAATACAAATCAGGCAGTAAGGGAGGGAAAGACTTAGGTAAGTAGAGACAAGAGAGAAGGAACTTTAATTTTCAGCTACAGGTAAAACCTGTGCTTTGTTTATAATGCAAAATTCCAAAGAAATCACTGAAATCACTCTGAGTTATCAATTTACAATATATTTACATGAATATTAAATGGAGCCATCCTATAACTTTTCTTTTCTTTTTTCTTTTTCTTTTTTGAGACAGAGTCTCACTCTGTCGCCAGGCACCAGGCTGGACTGCAGTGGTACAATCTCGGCTCACTGCAACCTCTGCCTCCCGGGTTCAAGCAATTCTCCTGCCTCAGCCTCCCAAGTAGCTGGGACTACAGGTGCACACCACCACGTCCAGCTAATTTTTGTATTTTTTTTAGTAGAGACGAGGTTTCACCATGTTGGCCGGAATGGTCTCGATCTCTTGACCTCGTGATCCACCCGCCTCGGCCTTCCAAAGCACTGAAATTACAGGCGTGGGCCACCACGCCCGGCCCCTATAACTTTTTAAATAATATTTTGGAACTACATTGTTAAATTAAATGATGTCTGATTAGCTCAGTATTTTGTTCATCATAAAATGTCAAATTTTGCTATATGGATAAAGCTGCTCTTTCTGAAATCAAAGAATATATACTAAAAAATGAAGAAAAAAAAAGATAACATCCTACCAAGAGACAGACAAGCTTTTTAGAGGGAGTATTACGTTATGACTATGAAATGTACACTATTGTAAACCTACTTCTATGTAAATCCATCCCTTCTGCCAGATCCTGAACTTCACTGGAGTCCTGAAGGGGGTTCATTTAACGAATCCCTCTTCCCTGACTGCATTCTTAACAACTGAAAGATAAGACAAGGAATAGGACTGGTTGAAACCAAAATATTATCTTTATTACTGACAAAACTAGGCTGAAAGATGTGACTTTCGTCTGCACGTAAATGTGATACTGAACTCTAGAATCTAAATCTCCAGACGGGTGGAAAGAGCCTCTGCTTAGAGGAAGAGCTGAGAAGCCATGCTCCCTGCTACATGTCACCCAGGAAGAATAGGGTAGGGGAGCTAAGCATGCCCAGTTCTGTCATCAAATGTATCAAGTAATTAATCTGCCTGCCCAGGGCGAATAGCTTAGCTGTCAAACTTGAGTGCTCAACAGAATCACCTGGAGGGTCTTGTTAAACCACAGATTTGCATTTCTGACAAGTTTCCAGGTAATCTTGATGCTACTGGGCTGGATGATGGGGTGGTGGCAAGAGCACAAATGGAGAACCAAGGCACAGAAAATGGTCAAGAGCATCACATTTCCTAAGAGTGAGAAGGAAGTATCCTCCACAACATCTTCCACAACGGCACTTGCTCGTCCTGATGGCATTCTTTTCCCTTCCTCCATTCATGATGGGTACGAGGTCTGGTGCACACAGAGGCAATAAACTGTTTGCTGGATTGAACTGAACACTAATGCTGCTTGACCTCTGTTCCAACTAAAATATGGAAAAGAGTTTTGAAAAAATTGAAAAAACGTCACTCTTGAACTTTCACCCATTTTTAAAACTAAACTTCATACGTGTTCATGTGAAGTTCTTGGTTCTGATGCATCACTGACTCACCACTTCCTGGGGGCAGACTGGATATGAATTAGGAACGACTTGAGGCTGCAAGGCAGCAAACATGCCTATTTCAGTACAATTTTCCCCTGAAAGTACCAGAAACTCTTCCCAAAAGGGCCTTTCCATCCCACTGTTTCTCAGGGGGATTTAGTAGTTTGAGCAACTGGGAAATGAAAACCAAGAGTTTGACTTTTCTGATACGACTCTAAACACTGGAATACTATCTTTCCTTATCTGGCAACTCCTTATATTTATGCTCACTCCCACTGTAGATAGATCCTTCATTCAACATTTCTAAATTATATTCAGACTTTTCACAGATAGAAAAAAAATTTTTATTCTCCGTTTTGCAGTGAGTCTTATAAAAAGCAATTTAGGGCGCATTAAATTAAGGAAGATCCAGCTAATAAGATTTCGCCAACTTCAGATCCTGAGTAATTTAAAGGAAACCAACACCTGTAAGAAGAAAGTTGTTATAATGGTAACATGAATCCAGAATCCAGAAATGATATAATTCACACAGTTGACGTTTTAAAGAAGAGCTTACTGGCAGGAATTAAGTATGGAAAGAGCCTGGAGCCCTTGAATTCTATGAACTACTCTTTGACTGCCCTCTACTGGCTAGATGTCAGAGTGCTATTCAGACTGTTAATTACTCGGTCTTAAGATTTTACGAGAAACATTCACAGTGGGTTTTCACAGAAGGCTTGTGTGATTTATTTTTTTCCTATATTTCTATACAACCAAAATAGATGTCTTTAATCTATCTTTAAGTTTTGTTGATACATATCTTGGTTTTCATTTCTTGATTTATGTATCTTGATTTTCAATTTGTATAGTCACCCTAGGATAGGACAGGATGGAGCTCCTGTCACACAATAAAAGGCTGGAAATATCTCTTTTCATCAAGAAAGGCAGTTTCTAGGACAAAGTTGCAATACTAACCATTATGGAACAAGTTGTTTCTGCAGAATAAAACCCTAATATCGTGCAAAAAAAAACCCCGCGCTAGAAGCTTGAGGGTCTAAAATGTTATTCAACTTTATATTCTCTGAATCTGAATACATATCACATTGAGTTATCGTGACAGTCCGTTCTAATTGTTATTATTCTGGGGGTTTTCCTACCCTAGGTTCAGATGAAGATTCCAGTAATCTTCTGTGGGATAAAATATTTGGAATGGCCCCTCCAATTATCCATCCTCCCTGATTCCCCTGACACTTAGCAGCATGCAAGCCCATGGGTTCTGCCTTCACCCTCTCGTAACATGGGGAGAGGATCATAGGTATCCACTGTTCCCAGAACCTGCAGCCTTCTGGCACCTAGTCCTGGGAAATCTCCACTTTCTATACCTCCCAAATGCCTCCTTCTCCTACCTCTTCTAGATCACCCACACAAATCTCCTTAATGAGTTCCAGCTTTCATTGCAGCCAAAGATGAGATACCGTCTTTAGCGTCACCTTGAAGGCTTGCCAAACACCCCCTTGGAGGCAGATAAGCACCAAGGCAGGAAAACTGCAAACAATTAAACTGGGTTTCTATCCTTTCTAATTCTTCCACATCAAAGAAATTAAAATTCATATTGTTACATCAACAAATCAATTCTTCCATATTTTCAAAATCAGAGAAAATGAACAGAAATGAGGAAGACAGGAGGTTGAGAAACTGCAATAAAGTTTAAATAAGGGTCCCTCTTTCTCTGGGTCTTTATAATTCATTGTTTAGCTTATTTATTTATTTTTGCTGCCACCTGCTGGAGTGCATTGATTCCTAGTGCACTAAGCCAGTGAGAGAGAAAATTCATGCTTTAATTCACTACAGCCTGCATAGATCTGTAAGGTTCAAAGATAAGCCCCTTTGGAATATCAGTCTTAAAAGGTGACCAGTAAAATATGGATAATGCTTTAAATACAAATAAAATTGTAATGTACTGGGGAAGAGGTCTATAGAAAGAGGAAAATGATGACGATTATAATACCAGAGGTCAGTAGGATGGGGCCAGAATGAAGCTGATAATTAGGAGGCTTTATAAATACCATGCGTTGCAGTGCTTCCATATTTGTAAAGGATCTTCTGGACTCCTATAGTTGTTCACGCAGTGACAGAAGATAAAGTTATCAGAGTATATTTGAACTACTAAATATGTGTTCCACTGAAGACTTGCTCATCACTTTCCCATTTTACTGTTTATCTAAAATGGCATCATCTAGAATTGATAGAATCTTATTTTTTCAAAAATCATGAACAAGAGTATGTAGTCTAAAATCACTCCTAAATGCCATCAGGAAACAAATTAATACATTCTACAATTCTAAATTAATTAGACTCCATGCTACATACAATAGCCTTAATGTACAAGGATTGGCTTGAGGTCATTCAGTGTATATTCTGGAATTAAAATGCTGAGAGCTTTTCATCCAAAATTAAAACAAAACAAAAACACCAAAAGATCCAATGCAGAAGTATGTTGTATATATTCTTGGCCATATATAGAATCAAATCCTAGGCTAGAACATTTCTCAGGGTACTGGATTCAGCAAGGGCTAAAATATTTACTGACAGGATGGCATTATGGGAAGACCAGCATCCCATGAGCATCATCAGTCACTCTTGAGAAATTTTAATTTCACAAAAAGAATCAGCCACATTGCTGCTTACAGTGCAGACTTAGGCAACTGTCTAAACATCACAAATTAAGACATATCTCAGGTCATGTTGCAGTTATGGATGTAGAGTTCATGATGAAGTCATTTAAATGTGGCATTTGGAGAATATACCCAATGGACTATTGATATTGTTTGGCTTTGTATCCCCACTCAAATCTCATCTTGAATTGTAATCCTCAGGTGTTGAGGGAGGAACCTGGTGGGAAGTGATTGGATCATAGGGGTAGTTTCCCCCATGCTGCTCTCATGATAGTGAGTTCTCACGAGATCTGATGGTTTTACAAGTGTTTTGCAAGTTCCTCATTTGCTTGCTTCTCTCTCTTGCCACCTCAACAAGATGTGTCTGCTTTCGCTTCTGCCATGATTACATAAATTTTCTGAGGCCGCCCCAGCCACACAGAACTGTGAGTGAATTAAACTTCTTTTCTTCATAAATTGCCCAGTCTCAGGTAGCAGTGTGAGAACGGACTAATACCAACCGTGTATTAGCAAACTTAGGCAAAATGGGAATTTGATGGTTGATAGAATTCAGCTGCAGAATATAAAGCCAAGCTACAAGAAGATAGGGGATCTCACTGGGCCTTAAAAACAGCTAAAATAAGGTCTTGGGTGCTTACAGTGTTCATGAGCTATGCTTCTCAACTCATAACAGCTTTATCTATGATCTATAAAATTTTCCTTCACAAGGAGTCATTATTCCCTCTACAGCTTCCTAGCTCCCCATTTCCACCACTCCCACCACTTACAATTCCTAGGGAAAAGCACTGATTGCCTTGAGTCAAGGGTCCACACCTGGACCAACCAGGTGTGGTGAGAGGAAACTTGGAGTAACAGTTAAGAACAGGAACACTGAATTCTAACTTTCCAGGTCCGTCAGTTTCCTGATGAGTCTCAGGAACTGTAATGTATAACAATGTTACAGGAACATATAGGAAACACATAGGAAATATAATGTATAATAATGTTACATTGTCCTGAAGTTTATTGTGGAAATTAAGAGATACTATATTTAAAGTGCTTAAAACTATGCCAAATATTCATTGGCAGATGAATGGATTTTTTAAATGTATATACATATAACAGGATATTATTCAGCCTTAAAAAAATTCTACCATTTGTTACATACAACATGAATGAACCTGGAGGACATTACACAAATTGAAATAAGCCAATGATTGCACTTATATGAACTATCTAAAATAGCTCACCAAGCAGATAGCAGAATGGTGGTTGCCAGGGGCTGGGGGAAAGGGGAAATGGGGAATTGTTTCTCAATGCATATGAAGTTTCAGTTACACAAGACAAATACATGCTGGAGATCTGCTGTACAACATAGTGCCTGTAGTTAACAGTATGGTATTGTACACTTAAATACTTGTGGAAAATGTAGATCCCATATTAAGTGTTCCTAGCACACAAAAAAGAAAAGAGTAAAAGAAAGAGGAAGGCAGAAAGGAAAGAAGGGAAGGGAAAGAAGGAAAGAAGCACAAAGAGACACATGAAAACCTGTGGATGATGGATACATTTATTACCTTTATTGTGGTGATAGTATCATGAGTATGTTCATACGTTCAAATTCATCAAATTGTATACTTTAAACATATGCAGTGTTTTCTGTATACCAATGATATCTCAGTAAAGTTGTTAACAAAAACTACGACACAGAATAAGCACCTTTTAAGGGGTTGTTAGTATGCAGCAATGGCTGTTCTCAGTCTTGGCCACACATTGGGATTATTTGGTCAACTTTAAAAAATACTTGATGCTGGCCGGGCATGGTGGCTCACACCTGTAATCTCAGCACTTTGGGAGGCTGAGGCAGGTGGATCACGAGGTCAGGATTTCAAGACCAGACTGGCCAAAATGGTGAAACCCTGTCTCTACTAAAAAAATACAAAAATTAGCTGAGCATGGTGGCTTGTGCCTGTAATTCCAGCTACCTGGGAGGCTGAGGCAGGAGAATTGCTTGAACTGGAACCTGGGAGGCAGAGGTTGCAGTGAGCCGAGATGGTGCCATTGCACTCCAGCCTGGGCTACAGAGCAAGATTCCACCTCAAAAAAAAACAAAGAAAGAAAGAAAGAACTTGATGCCTTAGTCTCATCCCCAGATAATTGGTTTTGGGATGAGACCAAATGTAGACCCAGTATCAGATTTTTTAATGTGCTTTTCAGAAAATTCTAATGTGATTTCAGGATTGAGAACTACTGCACTAAATCATAAGCTCTGTGGATGGAGGGATTCTCTTTATGTGTAGTCTTCAATCGTCTGTGTCTAAAACTATGCCTGGCACACAAAAGGTGCTCAGAAATATTTGTTGAATGAATGATAGAACTGTAGAAATGGCTACATCTAGTGAAATGAGGGCAGGTGTGTGTGTGTGTGTCTGTGTGTGTACATGTGTACACAGTGGCCAATAACATTTATGGGCCAGGGTAGGACTAAATGGAGCCCCCTATAGCATAGGTACTTGTAAATATTTACTATAAATCAAGTTAATAAATAATAAAATAACTATTATTCTCCTCCCATAAAAAATAAATCTTAGAGGATCAAATACAAATTTGAAATGTTCAGACCCCTTCAAATTCCTCTCTAGAACACAGCAGGCTGGGGAGAGCTATTTGCTGACTCCAGGCCCCTGACCATGGCTGCTGCTTTTGCTTCCCAATCCCATCTTTGTCTCTCACTTCAGGGATACACAAATGTCTATATTCAGTTCTTACATCAAACTTCTTTCCACACATCCCACACATATCCATCAGACCAGGTATGCACACACCAGTAGTACTGCCAGCATCCAAGTTGATAAACAAAGCAAAGAGAGAGGGGGTTGGGTCCATTTGGACAGGAAAATCTAGATGCTCTCTAACCTGATGTATATGCTAGGAAGAATTGGGTAAGGCAATTGCATGAGCCCCAGATGGATACATCCTCTTGGCCCCATGAACTGCTAAACATTATGGAACTAGCATACTGGAATAGAGCCAAAATGGGGCCCCCTAAAGCATGAAGCTCAGGATAGGGTTCCCAGGTTTAAGGTGAGCAGGATTTTGTGTGCTTATCTGTGTGTGTATGTGCACGTGTATGCACACACACTTGTATTACAATTAGGAAAAATACTGGACTCATTATAGAATGCAATGTTCTATGTAACAGAACTTTGAGTAGCTCCTAAGGTAAGTTTTGTTCAAACCATGCAGGCACCTATCTCTTGCCTTATATCAAAATGTGAAAAGACATGCACATGCATGCTATATGGTCTTCCACCTTCAACCTGTTGGTGACTTCCCTTTACATTTAGAAAAAAAAAAGTTACAGGCAATTAGTATTCATCACAGCGCTTATTTTCTATAAAATAACCAGGAACACTGAATTAGTGAATACTGAGTCTGTCTTTCTGTCTTTCTTTTTTTCTCTCTCTCTCTACTGAGCCAGTCTCTCTCTCTCTCTCTCTCTCTCTCTCTCTCTCTCTCTCTCTCTCTCTCTCTCCCTCTTCCTTTCTCTCTCTTTCTTTCTTTTTGACAGAGTCTTGCACTGTTGTACCCAGGCTGTAGTGCAATGGCATGATCTCGGTTCACTGCAGTCTCTGCCTCCTTAGTTCAAGCAATTCTCCTGCCTCAGCCTCCCGAGTAGCTGGGACTACAGGCATGTGCTACCATGTGTGGCCCATTTTTTTATATTCTTAGTAGAGACGGGGTTTTACCATGTTGGCCAAGAGGTCTTGATCTTCTGACCTTGTGATCTGCCCACCTCAGCCTCCCAAAGTGCTGGGACTACAGGCGTGAGCCACCGTGCCCAGCCCTGAGTCATTCTTTCTAAGCAAAATACAAGGTTACATTCCTGCAAGCCTCTAGTCACAATATTTTCTTTGATTGATCAATATATAACATTGGGTATGTGTTTGTTTTTTGGGTTTTTTTGACACAGAGTTTCGCTCTTGTTACCCAGGCTGGAGTGCAATGGCGTGATCTCAGCTCACCGCAACCTCTGCCTTCTGGGTTCAAGCAATTCTCCTGCCTCAGCCTCCCGAGTAGCTGAGACTACAGGCACACGCCACCATGTGCAGCTAATTTTTTTTATTTTTATTTTTAGTAGAGATGGGGTTTCACCATGTTGACCAGGATGGTCTCAATCTCTTGACCTCATGATCCACCCGCCTCAGCCTCCCAAAGTGCTGGGATTACAGGCGTAAGCCACCACGCCCGGCCTGTGTGTTTCTTTTTAAAAACATCTTATTTAACACATATTGTTGATTAACACTGAACTCACAATCAACAGCACTATACTTCTTGTCTGAACAAAGCTTATCTGGCATATATATTTTCTCCATAAGGCATATCACATTTCTTTTACATAAGAACCTTATGCAAGAGTTCAGCCACCACACTTATGGCTCATTTTAAACACGAAATCACCAAGAAAAAGAACAAAAATGTTAAAAACATGGCTTTAAATTTACCTGAGAAGGGATCCTCTTGTACAGTACAGGAGCTGAAACAAGAAGGAAAAGCATTAATTTGACATTAGCTGAGAACATGCATATCAGGTGACCCAAATACATATCACTACATGGTGGCGAAAACAACATGAGAATTGATTTGGGGGTAACAAATAAATTTTAGCGTGTAGGCAAACTACAGGATTCCTGAATAATGAAGATCAACTGTATTTAATATGATAAAGTCTAAAATCCTGACCCTGGAATTCAAATTTCTCAGTGAGTTAGCTGTGTTTTGATTTTGCAGCCTTAATCTCCATCCTCACCGATTTTCCCCTCTCATTCTCCACTCCCCTGCCTGGCTGAAATGGGTTTTTCTTGCACAGCCCTATAGTCATCTGTCTCCTGATTCTGTTTACTTAAGCCAACATTTACCAGAAACATGGAAGTCCCAAAAACTGCATGGGACAAAGAAAAAGGCTCTTTTCAGTATCTGTATATATTGGGATATGATATCCCAAACCTTTTTATATTAATTACTTGCAATGAAAGCACCCTTCTCTGTTTAATTCAGTGACGACCCAATTGAACTAAAGAGGCATTCATGGATGGAGAGAGTAGAGTGAATGTTTTTACAGGACAAAGTGGCTAGAGAGCATCAGATGCCATGACCAGGCCAAATATGATGTGAATAAATTGACCATGGCTTTGGAAAGTTCATGGTCAAATATTTCTCCTTCTCCCATGGGATAAGTTCAGAGTTGAGAATAACAATTTTAAATTGTTCATTTTCTCTATGAAATAAACTATGGGCTAAAGTTACATAGAAATTGCATAAAATTTACTTTCAAGGATTGGTTTCCAACTTTATAAAACAGTCTGATTTAAATGACAACATTATTGCTATCTGATGACTTGTTATATTTCACATAACTTTGCCCATACACATTTGATATATATACATA